TTTAGCCTTCTTTAATCTGGAACATTTCTCCAGCTTTTCTTTGTCTTTTATGAAAATGATATTTTTGAAAAATACAGTCCCCTTTTTCCTACTTACCTTCGAATGAAACATGCTTCATTTTGGATTTACCTGATGTTTCCTTGTGATTCAGCTCATGTAATGCATTCTTATAGGTGATGTGTCCTCAAGATGTCACTGCGGAAAGCACATCATGTCCATCTAAATAAATACCATCTAAATAAATACCATCTAAATACCATCTAATGTCCATCTAAATACCTCCACTGGAGGTATTTATTTAGAATGCAGGCCAAGGCATTGTCTAATTTCTCTGCTATATAATAATTAATGCTATGTCTTCGCTTGTAACTAAAGACACAATCTCTGGGGGAATATTTAAGACTATGCAGATGTCTTTCCTGCTCCTTGTCAAAATTTCCCCCTAGATTTGCTGATGATTCTCCCTTTATCTAGTCTTTACTTTGATAGTTGCAGAATGCCGATTTTTCCAATTCTACCATTCCTTTCATATTTACCAACCAGTGCTCACATTCTTCTGTAAACAAGAAGCTTCCGTTTCTCCCCTTTTTGTATCTGTGGACTCAAAATCCTATCTTTGATGGTTTATAATTCATTGCTGTCTTGAATTTCTATGGTGCTTAAATCAGATGTGTAAGCTGGCTCTTGCGGTCTTGTGCCATGTGCCCACCATTGTTTTGAGCCCTTCCTTACTTGCTGGCCTAACAAGATGCCCAAGCTCATCTTGTATGTTTCCTGTTCCCAGCCAGGAATCAGCCATTTCTTTGAGGACCTCTGGTTTCTTTTAGTAGGTGATGGTATTATAATAGAGTCCCAGGAGATGGTGCTAGATGTGCTCATTACCACTGAGGTATTTTTGTTTCTTGGCCTTTCAGCAAAGACAGCTAGGGAATATATGCACATATATACACACATGCATACAAATGGTGCAGACGTGAATATACATACATTTATATACATGCACGTATATATAATTTAGAAACCATAAGTTCACACCAGTACTTTCAATTCATCCCCACAGGTTGTTTCTTGCCTTCCCCTATTCCTTATTTTTACGTCCTTTCTTCTTCCAGGAGAGCCCTGACTTCCAAGAAATTCAACACATTTACTCAGTTCCATAATACATCTAAAATTTTTTCAGAATTGCTCTGCCCATACCACTACAGAAAACAGACCTGCTAACATAGTTCAATTGTTTGCACTTCTTCCCTACCACCCCCTGCAGCCTTCCCAAGACTGAATATACCTCTATGGTCAAATACTATGTCCCTAAGTTACTTGGATTTGTTCTTTTGTTTCTTTTTGTTTGTTCTCTTCCTGTGGTTATGATATTCATGTAAAACACAAATGAGTTCATTTGTTTCTGTTTGCTTTCTGTTTTAGCTGTTTTTCTACTTTCCTATCCTCATGTATTTAATTTTATTCTTTGAATATGCAAAACATTTTTATGCTTCCATAAGTAAAAACTATATAGAGAGCTATAGAGTGTCTGTCTGCCCCCACCTGCCATCCCTTCCGCTCCACTCAACCCCTTGTAAAGTAAACTTCATTGTTTTCTGGTTTATCATTGTTATATAAAGAGAAGCAGATACGTACTTGTTTTCTTGTTTTCCTTCTTTTGTGCACAAAACGTAGCATATATGCTCTTTTTTTCACTGTGCCTTTTTTGATTTTACAGTATATCCTCATTCTCTTTTAGTGCTGCATTGTGTATATATGCCATAGTTTATTTAACCAGTCTTCTATGCTTGGATATTTAGGTAGTTTTCCAGATTTTTCAGTTGCAAGTAACGCTACAGTGAATAACTTTGTGCATGTATAGTTTTGCATTGTTGGTGTCACCTCAGTATAAATTCCTAGAAGTGAGATTTCTGGGTAAACTCATACATGGTTTTGTTAGATATTGGCAAATTCCCCTCAACAGGGGTTGTGCCAATTTGCATTTTCAACAATGTATGAGAGTTCCTGTTTCCTCCATAGCCTCATCAACAGAGTATATTGTTAAGCTTTGACTATTTGCTAATCTGACAGGTGAGAAATAGTATTTTACTGTAGTTATTTGCCTTTCTCTTATTGTGACTGAAGTTGAATATCTTTCCACATATTTAAGGACCATTTTAGTCTATTTTTCTTCAGTTTTTGAAAGTTATTTGTATATTAGGGATATTGGCCGTTACATATGATGTATCTTGCAAATTTTTTTTTCTACTTTGTCATTTATCTCTTAATTTTGCAAATGGTATTTTTGCCATGCAATTTTGTTTTTATATAGTCAAATTTATAAATCCTGTTCATCTGAGTCATAGTTAGAAAGCTTTCTCTATACGCAAGTCTTGGAGGCATTTACTGATGTTTTCTTATATTATTTTATATTTAGAATTCTGTTCCATTTGGAGTTTATCCCTGTGTATGGTTTGAAGAATGGATCTAATTTTATCTTTTTCCAAATGGCTTTATAGTTTTACAACACTATTAAAAAGACAGTCTTTGGCCAGGTGTCGTAGCTCATGCCGGTAATCCTAGCACTTTGGGCAACTGAGGATTGCTTGAGGCCAGGAATTCCAGACCACCCTGAGCACCATAGTGAGACCCCATCTCTACAAAACATAAACACATCAGCTGGGCGTGGTGGCGTGCGCCTGTAGTCCTAGCTACTGGGGAGGTTGAGGCGGGGGATCGCTCTAGCCCAGGAGTTTGAGGTTGCTGGGAGTTATGATGATACTACTGTGCTCTAGCCCAGGCAACAGAGTGAGACCCCGTCTCAAAAAAAAAAAAAAAAACAAATAAAATGACCATCTTTACCCCCAATGATTTGCAATGCCATCTTTATCATTGATTTCTATGTATAGTTGGGACAATTTCTGGACTTTCTGTTCTATTCCATTTGCATATATATTTATATACTGGTACCACACTGTTTTAATTATAGGGACTTTATATTTTAATATCTAGTATGGCTAGTACCCTCTCACAGCTCTTCTTTTCATTTTTTTTCTAGCAATTTTTGTGTATTTGTCTTAAGGGATTTGGTTTTATGGCTATAGGAAGTTGAACATCTTTCTGTCCTGAGGTCTGAGGGTGAATACAGATGGAGGGCCAGGGCTGAATAGGAAACAGATGGAGCAGGGTTCCTGGTGTGTGTGGGAACAGGATTCTGAGCGTAGATAGATGGTATGTTGCTGTTTATGGTTCTGGAATTCCACTGCCTACCCAGTAGCCCTCATATTTTAAGTGATGTGGAATGCTCTGCCTGGAGTAATAAAGAAAGGGAGTCGGGGAACAAGGCCATCCTACCATCCCTCAATGGCCTCTGATGATCTTACTTAGTACTTAATATTGCTTAATATTTAATTACCAAATTTGGGGAAGCTCTCTTAGCTGAACAACCTTTGGGTTTAACGTCTATGGAGTGATGCTTTATTTTATCTTCCTAGCGATCCCCTGAGTTCATACCTTGTCCTGTAAGTTTTAATTCAGAGTTCATTGTTCCCATAAGCATAACTTGTATCATAAGTGTGATTCTTTATACAGGTCCACTCCAAAGTCTGTATCTTACTTGTGTTGCCCCTGCCACCTCCTCATATGTTCACAGATAGAATCTCTGAGTAGGATCGACAGAATTGCCATGTACTGACCTAAGAGAGTCTGATACCCAGGGTACGAGGGGGAGATCCAAATTTTAACAGTCTAATCACAAATGTCTAATTGTCTGAGGCTGAAGAATAACTAGCCTAGAACTGTTGTGTGTGTTCTCAGGACTCAGTCTATCAGTAAGTGGATGCTGATGGAGTACAGTTATGGGTAGATTGCCTTCAAGGGAGCAAAGAGTCCCTGCTTGGGCCTAGTATCTCCTTTGAGAAGGAGTGTGCAAACTTTCCTGAGTCATGTGCTTTATCTCCAGGTTCCGACCCTGATCCAGTAACCTGACTGCATGTTCTTAGTTATAATACTATAATGAATAATAAATAATAATAACATATAGCACTCACCAAGTGACAGGTATTGTTCTCAATGCTTTACGTGCACTATCTCATTTCATATTTGCAAAGACCCTATTGCCTTCATTTTACAGATGATGAAACTGCTACACAAAGAGGCTAAGTAATTTTCTCAGGGTCATCCAGCTAGGTATTTGAATCTAGGCAGTGTCACTTCCTTTGCTTGATGGTTTGAGGTTTTGCTTCTCATCTTTGATATGCACTGACTACCGTAGCCTGTTCATAACTAGGAATGAAAGCCGCTCCACAGCAGGCCAGAGCACGTTCTTCCATATAGAGTTCTTCCCTGGCCACCCACTTTCCAGAGTTGATGTCTTCCTGGGAGGGAAAGTCCGGGAAGCCAAATTGACTCCAGGCAGCTGTAGGTTGCTTTGTTTCTCATCTCTGAAATGACTGTCTTCATAATTTCATAACTGTCCCCTTGATACCTTTACCCAGGTACTGATTTCTCCTCTTCTTTAGTTTTGCCTGTCCTCTGTTGATTATGTCTAAATTCTCATAATCAAAAAAGTTACACCTAACATTTGTCTTACTAATTTTTCTGTTTCCTGTTCTTCAGAGATTTCTTCTGTCCTCTGTTTTTTCATGGGTAAATGACATTGTTCAAATACTGGTCAGTGTTGCCTCTGATTCTGTGCATCATTTCACCTTGTCCTAATGCTGAGCTGTTATGAAACAACAGAAAAGCTCTTTGTTCCATTGAAAATACAGGACTCTAGCAGTTTAATATTATCTCCACAGGGGCAGATATTTTGTCATGTCCACTTTTGTATCCCCAGTACTTAAAAATGGTACCTCTGTGATAGCATGCAGTCAGTAAATATTTGTCAAGTTAATGAGTGAATTTTGATGTGATTCTTCCAGTTTTTTCTAAACAAAGTGAACAGGTATCCTTTTTATTTTCTTGGTTTAGTGTCACATTTGAAGATGGCCACTGAGGATGAAGAACCAACCGAAAAGTCTGAAAATGTGGGAAATGCAGAATGTAAGTGGACAAAAATGGAAAGTCTTCACGAGGATCCTGTGCAGGAATCTAAGGTTGGTGAAACGTGTGATTGGGATAGCAAAGTAGAGAGTCAATGGCAAAAGCCGGCAGGAAAAAGGATGAAGGAAGACGACAGTGGCATCAGGGAGATAGTTGGCAAAGCCAAGAACATGGCAAACTTAAAGACGGAACAGGGGGATGAGACAGCTGAAAATAGCTCACGACTGAGCCCAAAACACATCCCACACCAGACTGTCCCTGCAGAGCAGAGAAGCAGTGAACAAGGCAAGTGCGTGGAGAACATTAATGGAAGCTCTCACCCCAGTCTACAGCAGAAAACCAGTGCTGTTAAGAAATCACATAAATGTGATGAGTGTGGGAAATCCTTCAAATATAATTCCCGTCTAGTTCAGCATAAAATTATGCACACAGGGGAAAAACGCTACGAGTGTAGTGACTGTGGAGGGACTTTCCGGAGCAGTTCGAGCCTTCGGGTCCACAAGCGGATCCATACTGGAGAGAAGCCGTACAAGTGTGAGGAATGTGGAAAAGCCTACATGTCCTACTCCAGCCTTATAAACCACAAAAGTACCCATTCTGGGGAGAAGAACTGTAAGTGTGATGAGTGTGGAAAATCCTTCAATTATAGCTCTGTCCTGGACCAGCACAAAAGGATCCACACTGGAGAGAAGCCCTACGAATGTGGCGAGTGTGGGAAGGCCTTTAGGAACAGCTCTGGGCTCAGAGTCCACAGAAGGATCCACACAGGGGAGAAACCCTACGAATGCGACATCTGTGGGAAAACCTTCAGTAACAGCTCTGGCCTCAGGGTCCACAAAAGGATCCACACTGGTGAGAAGCCCTATGAATGTGATGAGTGTGGGAAGGCCTTCATTACTTGCAGAACACTTCTCAACCATAAAAGCATCCACTTTGGAGATAAACCCTATAAATGTGATGAGTGTGAGAAATCTTTTAATTATAGCTCTCTTCTCATTCAGCATAAAGTCATCCACACTGGAGAGAAACCTTATGAATGCGATGAATGTGGGAAGGCTTTCAGGAACAGCTCAGGCCTCATAGTACATAAAAGGATCCACACAGGAGAGAAACCTTACAAGTGCGATGTCTGTGGCAAAGCATTCAGCTATAGCTCAGGCCTTGCAGTCCATAAAAGTATTCACCCTGGGAAGAAGGCCCATGAATGTAAAGAGTGTGGAAAGTCTTTTAGTTATAACTCGCTCCTTCTTCAACATAAAACTATTCACACTGGAGAGAGACCTTATGTATGTGACGTATGTGGGAAAACTTTCAGAAACAATGCAGGCCTCAAAGTCCACAGGAGGCTCCATACTGGGGAAAAACCATATAAGTGTGATCTGTGTGGGAAAGCCTATATCTCACGCTCTAGCCTTAAAAATCACAAAGGAATCCATCTTGGGGAGAAGCCCTATAAATGTAGCTATTGTGAAAAATCCTTCAACTATAGCTCTGCTCTTGAACAGCATAAAAGAATTCATACAAGGGAGAAACCCTTTGGCTGTGATGAGTGTGGAAAAGCTTTCAGAAATAATTCTGGCCTTAAAGTACATAAACGAATCCACACTGGGGAGAGACCTTACAAATGTGAAGAATGTGGGAAAGCCTACATCTCACTCTCAAGCCTTATAAATCATAAAAGTGTACACCCTGGGGAGAAGCCCTTTAAGTGTGTTGAGTGTGAGAAAGCCTTCATCACATACCGAGCCCTTATAAACCACAAAAAAGTTCATCTTGGGGAGAAGCCCTACAAATGTGATGTGTGTGAGAAATCTTTTAATTACACCTCACTCCTTTCTCAACACAAAAGAGTCCACACTAGAGAGAAACCCTATGAATGTGACAGGTGTGAGAAGGTCTTCAGAAACAACTCAAGCCTTAAAGTTCATAAAAGAATCCATACTGGGGAGAAGCCCTATGAATGTGATGTGTGTGGAAAAGCCTACATCTCACACTCAAGCCTTATTAATCATAAAAGTACTCACCCTGGCAAGACACCCTATACATGTAATGAATGTGGAAAAGCTTTTTTCTCAAGCAGAACTCTTATAAGCCATAAAAGAGTCCATCTTGGGGAGAAACCTTTCAAGTGTGTCGAATGTGGGAAATCTTTCAGTTACAGCTCTCTCCTTTCACAACACAAGAGGATCCACACAGGGGAGAAACCCTATGTATGTGATAGGTGTGGAAAGGCATTCAGGAACAGCTCAGGCCTCACAGTGCATAACAGGATCCACACAGGTGAGAAACCCTATGAATGCGATTTGTGTGGGAAGGCGTACATCTCACATTCAAGTCTTATCAACCATAAAAGTGTCCACCGTGGGAAGCAGTCCTATAATTGTGAGTGTGGGAAATCCTTCAATTATAGGTCAGTCCTTGACCAACATAAAAGGATCCACACTGGAAAGAAGCCATACCGATGTAATGAGTGTGGTAAGGCTTTTAATATCAGATCAAATCTCACCAAGCATAAAAGAACACATACTGGAGAGGAATCTCTAAATGTGACAAATGTGGGAAGTCATAGTGGCACATCCCAGAGGAGAACCTATGAGGAGGGAGGGAATGCTCTGGATAGGACCAGGATGAGGATGCCTCTGTAGCAGGTGAAGTTTACTGAGTCTCAAGGATTGCAAGTGGAAGAAAAACCTTATGAATGTAAGAGTGTCTGAGGTCCTTGTTCATGGGTTATACTTTGCATAGTACAAATCACTGTAGAGGATCGTGAGTAATCTTTTCTATGTGATTTTCAGTCACAGCAAGGAAGGCTCCAGTGTCAGGGTAATTTCGCCCTTATAGAATATAAAATACTCCATACTGGGGATAAAACCTATTAAAGTGATGGAATATGAAAAAAATCTTCAAAATAAGCAGACATTTCTATACATAAAAGAAAACACAAATTGAGGAAAGGACTTCAATTAGAAACCACATAGTCACGATCAGAAAGTTCATACTTGGATGAATTCTGTGAATAAAAATGTAGGAAATTCAGGTTTACCTTTGAATTCCAATGACCAATATTGGTCAGTGGGGAAAAAAAAACTAAGAAGAGCCTTCAACAGACAAATTCAGGGAAAGGTAGGCTTCAGGGAATATAAATTTATTTAATAATAGTGATCTTGATGTAATCGAATGGCTTGAGGGGGGCAATGATGATGATTTTTGAAACAAAATTTGGATTTCCTAGTAGGAAAGTAGAAAGCATAGACTGTTACAAATGTAACAGAGATAGGAGAGTCACTCGTAGAAAAGACAAACTGATTGGAATGTACTATTGTGATATACTAGTTGAATGGATGGAACTTTTTTTTTTTAAAGTTTCAAATCAGCCCCCCAGTGAATGATGAATGTGTGATGAGCGGGAACCTGAAAGGTGGTATTCACACATTTATGCTACAATAAAAGGTTCTGCCTTGGAGAGAATCTTGACACATTCAATAACCAATGGGACACATCTTCAGCATGAACTTGCACCTTATATGACAATTGATTCAGGGATTCCTAGGATAGGAATGTTGGGAAGGAGGGCATTTTATTGTAGGAGCTAAAAAGCTAAGTAGCTACCAGTAATTCAAGAGACGAGGAAATTCATGTTTCTTAATGATCTTGTTAAATGTTTGTTTTGGACAGTGTTATTGTAAAGATTTCTTGCAGTATATATGTAAATTGTCTGTTGTAAAATGTTATGGATGCTTTGTTCAGGGCTCACTCTCTTTGCCATGAAGGCCAGATAGTTGTGGTGAAGTAAGGTGGAATTCCAATAAAGAAATTCCTTAAATGAAAACAGACTGTGACTTACTTTAGGTGGAGGGATACACAGAGCCAATCCTGTGTCAGTATGGGGTAAGTTATATCAGATCCAAACCAGAGAAGGCAGCGGGGGACTCATCCCACAGGGCTAGGAGCTCAGCTGGTTTCAGCAGAAGTTAGATGGTGCTTCACTAGGAGACGCACAGAGTGGATTTTGAGGAAACAAGTGATGCGATCCTTATACTGGGAGTAGGCAGGCTATGTGTGTCACCACAGGTAGAATTTTTTTTTTTTTTTTTTTTCTGAGAGTGTCACTCTGCTGCCTGGGCTAGAGTGCCGTGGCATCATCCTAGCTCACAGCAACCTCAAACTCCTGGGCTTAAGCGATCCTTCTGCTTCAGCCTCTCAAGTAGCTGGGACTACAGGCGCACACTGCCATGCCCAGCTAATCTTTCCTAGTTTTGTAGAGACGGGGTCTCACTCTTGCTCAGGCTGGTCTCAAATTCCTGACCTCAAATGATCTTGGCCTTGGCCTCACAGAGTGCTAGGATTACAGGCGTGAGCCCCCGTGCCCAGCATCCCGGTAGAACTTAATGTGAAGTATTGCTAACTATGTATGAAGTGGTTAACTAGGTAATTTAAAGGGTAAAAGTAGACTCTTTTGAGAATTGAGTAACCAAGAATACTGTGGGGGTAGGAGGTCCCAGTAGAGGCTGAATTCTAAGTCTGGTCTCTCTGGCTTCAAGAGAACATTCCGTAGCCAGGTAGGATTCCTAGCTCTCTAGCTTGATAGTTCCCATGCTTCTCTCTAGGAGTATAACTCTCTTTGACTTTGTCTCCAAGCCCCCACCAGTAAGTTCTGGTTTTTTCCCCTAGGGACTGTATCTTATTTATCTTTTTATTTCCAGTACCCAGTGGCATACAGTAGGTGCTCACAGATGTTTGGGAAGTGAAGTAATAAATGAACCTTATGTTTTCTAGCCATCTTGTCCAAGGAGAAGTTCATTTAGGGTCAGTGTTGAGCTGTCCGTCAATAATTCAGTGAATAAGCAGGATATCAGTGATACCCCCAGGTAACATTCATGCTGCTTCCCCTTTTTTTAGGGACTTGCCACTTTTCTCCTTCACTCTTGCGGTCCAAATGGAGTTTCTCAGGCCGCAGTGAGGTGAATCTATGGTGCAAGCCATTGCCATTCCTCCTCCTTGGTCTTCATTTGCTCTGACCAAAACCTGGAATCATACATGATTTCTTTCTCTCATTCTCCTTCCCCTATCCCATCCTATCAATCCAATCCATTAACTAGTCCTCTGAGCTCTATCTCAAAAATATATTCCTTATTCAGCTATTTCTTACTAGCTCCACTACTGCCACAACCCAATCCATCCCTTACCTGGGGTCTTGTAATAGCCCTGTGCATCACACCTCCATGCCCAGCTAATCTTTTCTAGTTTTGTAGAGACAGGGTCTCACTCTTGGCTCAGGCTGGTCTCAAATTCCTGACCTCAGATAATCCTCCCGTCTTGACCTCACAGAGTGCTAGGATTACAGCTGTGAGCCACTGCACCCAGCATCCAGGTAGAATTTAACGTGAAGTATTGCTAACTATGTATGAAGCAGTTAACTAGGTAACTCAAAGAATAAAAGTACACTCGTCTGAGAATTGAGTAACCTCCTAGCCTCCTCCCCACCGTCCACAGAATAGAAGGCAGAGCCCCAGAACCTTCATGGTCTTGGCAAAATCCTCATCCCTTCCTCCCTGACCAGAGTCACAGCCTCACTACCACTGTCTACCTGGAAGACCATTGCTACAAATTCCATTTTGCCTTTTATCCTTATATGTGTACCCTATATTGCCACCAGACAGGACTGTATGCCCATAACATTGTACATTTTTTCACCTGACTGTGTTTCCTACCCCTCCATAACACAAGAACTTTCATTGTATCCCCTGGAACTCATAGTCCACCATTAGCAAAATTTCCTATATTCTCTTCACCTCTTGGCCTAACTGAAAACTAGCTATCCTCTGGGGGTACGGTTTCCTTTGCACTTCTCTCAAGTGGGGGCTGCCTTTTCTACCATATCCCATGTTTCCAGGTGGGATAGGTAACCTGCATGGTCCTATTGCTGCTTGAGGACCATTGTCACCCCCTCTTCCTAAACTCCCCCCTCTCCCCACTAAAGTTTGAAATCTCTTTACATTACATTAAACAACCACCAGCCCTTCTTTCTGCAGCCATCTGCAGATCCTGGGTTGCTCTCCAGCATTCCTTGAAGACTGTAGCTCCTGTCTCACTGTCACTTTCTCCAAAGCTAATCGTGTCTTAATTCTAAGTAATTTCTATGACATGCAGGTGATGCTTTCCATACACTGGCCTCTGAAGTCTTTAACCTCTGCTTCTCTCCTCCCGTGGTCTTGTGCTCCACCCTACCTCAGGCGTCCATTCCACAGTCTTGTCATGTCATTAACAATAGCTGCAACCTCTCTTTAATCTCAATTCCGAGTGAGCCACTCTCTGACCCCACCTCCTAGCTTTCCCGTGTCCTTCCTCTAGTATCCTGCCAGGACTCCACCCACCAGTAAGTTCTGATAGGTGGAGGAAAGGGGGGAGGTGGTAGGGAGGTAAGGAAGACAGTGTCTCCAACACAAATCCACATTGAAATGTGATGAACACACTTGCTCTATGTCCTTCCCTACATGTGGCACCGGCAAGCCTGACCCTGCCCACAAGCTTGGACTGATTTATTGAGGAAGTACTTATTGAGGATCTGCTGGGCGCAGTCCACTGTCCCAGGCACTGGGTGGGAGAGGATGGCAGCAGAAGTAGACCCTGGTAGATAAGGATGAATAAGGGAGAAAGGCCACAAGCAAAACCACCCTGATGGATGCCCTGAACTAGACTCTGCAGGTTCTCAGAGGAAAGTGACTATGACCAACCAGGAAAAGGGAGGTAGTGGTGACATCTGAGTGGGACATCGAATCGTGTTTTCTCAGAGAGGATTGGGAAATAGGATGGTCTGAGCAAAGGCATCATGGGAAACACTCAGGCATCCTCCAATGAGGCTGGTCTCTGGCAGGGCTGATGTCTGGTGGGCAAGAAGGAGGTGGCTGCGGAGTACTTGTTCCCAGCAGTTGTGGCTCTGATTGGGTTTCTGTTTGCTAAAGATGAGACCAGTTCTGGCTGTTTTAGATAATCACAGGTTTGCTGAGGTTTCCATTTGCCCACACACCCCTGCTTGAGTTCCAGCTGGACCTAATGCACCATCTATTTTCATGGGAGATGCAGGTTAATTAAGTAACAATGGAGAGGATGGCCACAGCTTGGATGGGGATTCTGAGTGCCCTGAGCACTAGGACACACTCTCCCATCTATTTGGATGCTCTGGAAATGGTCCCAGGACCTCACGTATGCCTTCAGCCAGACGTGAGCCTCTTTGGGCTGATCCCAAACATGATGGGGTGTCTCAGTCTCTAGCCCCCAAAGATCCAATGGGCTCATGTGTGCCACCCCAGGGACGAGAGGTGGTTTAAGGACTACCTCCAACTGCTACCAGAAAATGATATGTAAGAAGAAAAAATAAGCAGGAGGAGAAGAGAAAGCACAAAGGAAAACTTGAATAAACAATGAGTATGCAAAAGCCCTTCATAGGAGTGTACATCTCTATTAGTGAATTTGTCTGAAGGTGAAAGCCCAAAAAATAATTGTGTCTGTTTCATGTATGAGGATCCTGGGGGTGAAATAGCATTGAACACCAGTCATGCAATGCAAAGGAAATTTCCTTCATGGGATTCAAAAACGAGAGGATCACCACTAGGATAATACCTGAGGACCAGTTAGCCGAAGACAGATATTGGGGATATGAAGTCTGCTTGTATCAGGAGGACCTTAAGGAATTGGGGACAGCTGCCCCAGGGCAGTCCCTAGGCTGGGAGGACTCTTCACGTTTCTTCTCCAGCCTCAGCCAAGGGCCTTGGCCTGGAGACATGGAGAAGGAAATAGAATAGAGTATTTTAACTCGATTCATCTTCCCACTGAGGAACTGTTCCCATTTAGACGTGGCACTTCTTCTCAGGCCATGGATAATATTGGTTATGCTCAAGGAGCAGTTTTTGTGAAACCTGTGTAGAGAGGCAGCAAAGTCTAGTGGCCAAGGGCATGTTCTCTCTGCCATGAAGCCCAGATTCAAATGAGCACTCTCACTTATTCTCAGATGACAAGTAACTTAACATTTTTTAAATTTTTTTTTTTTTTTTGAGAGACAGGGTCTTATTCTGTCACCCAGGTTGAGTGCAGTGGGGCAGTCATAGCTCACTGTAACACCCTGGGCTCAAGCGATCTTCCCACCTCAGTCTCCCAAGTAGCTGAGACTACAGGCATGCGCCACCACACCTAGCTAATTTTTTAAAATATTTTTCTTTTGAGATGGGGTCTTGCTATGTTGCCCAGGCTGGTCTCAAACTCCAGGCCTCAAGTGATCTTGCCTCAGCCTCCCAAAATGCTGGGATTACAGGCATGAGCCATCGTGTCCAGCCTAACCTCTTTTTATGCTTCTGTGGCGTCACCTGTCTTTTGTCAGGATAAGAAAAGCAGCAACCTCATAGTTTGTAATGAGGACTGGAAAATTAGTATTATTAGGACCCTTAGAAGAGTGCTTGGAATGAGAAGTGTGCATAAGGATGTATCAAGTCCGGCAGTGAAGTGGCCTCTGCCCGAGGACTCAGCATCTAGATGCTCAAGCAATGGAAGACAGCTCCTATCTGGAAGTCAAGAAAATCCTTCAAGGACCACCCCACATGCCGACACAACTTGAGAAGAGATGTGAGACGTGAGAAAAATGATTTTTTCAATATGGTTACTCAGTGGTATCTTGTTTCTAAGCAAGCAATCCATTGTTTCTAAGCAAACATGCTTTGTGTTTGTCAGGCTGGAAAAGTGTTAACAGCTTGAGGAGCCTCCTGCTTTGGTCCAGTGACCAAGCGTTTTGGGTGTGATGAGGGCTGCTATACACTGGCTTCTCTGGCCTAGG